GTATTCTGTATAACAAGATATTTTTGAATTCACCATATTTTATGTTAAGATAAATATTTTTAGAACTTGTGAACATGGTTTTGACAGTTGATTTGTTTTCACACAACTTGTACATGAGCATGTTGTTTCTCATGACAAGATGTCTGCTTATATCCCAACATTATATATATCATGTACCTAATTTTGCCTGTTTTCTTTCATATTAAAGCTAACATTACTTACATAAAAAAATTTTTCGTGGAACTGTCTTGTCTTTTGTTCTTGTCTGGATGAATAGCAACTCTTTGATATTTCCAGACAGGTAATATATTGTTAATTGTAATAGAACTTCAGTTATGATACTAGTTTTTTATTTTCCATATATATATAGCTGAGCCCTCTTACAAAATATGAAGTCACTTAACAGATTCATTTATATTTTGTGTGACATTATTAAAAGATGATACATAATTAACCACTGCTTAGTAGAGAACTACTTTAGAAAATTTAGTTCTTGTTTTGTTTTGGTTTGGTTTGGTTCTTTGAGACAGGGTCTTACTATGTAGTTGAGACTGACCTGGAACTCACTATGTAGCCCAGGCTGGTCTTGAACTCACAGCGATCCTTCTGCCTCAGCTTCCCGAGTGCTGGGATTACAGGTGTGCACCACCACACCCGGCTAGTTCTTGTTTTTAAAATAAGATACAAGCAAAACATGACAAATGGTAGGATGCAAATATATTTAAAAGAATATAAAGGAGTAATTTTAGAGTAACTTTGGACCCTAGAGATCACGGGGTAATTTTAGATGCTGAAAATGAAACAATTAGTGGTAAAGACAGCAGTTAGTTGGTCACTAGCAGATTGTATTTTTGTGTAATAAACCTCAACCACTTATTTCTGTGTCTAAAATGAATTAGAGTTGAATTCATGGAATGCAGATAAAAATTTTAAAATCCTGTATAACTTTGTCATCGATATACAATAACAACTTCCCATATCATTTATAATTGAAAGTGTATACTCACATCTATACTTATCAGGAACTTTAAAATGATACTTGTTAGTAACAGCATATCTCTTCTTTGAAATAAAATTTCTCCAAGATACTGTCAGTTTCTTGTTAATTGATTGCTTTTTTTATTGTTTTTAAAGAAAATGAGAATGAGTGGTTATTTATTAATGTTTACTTTTAATGGCACAATCATCTTATAGCTTTGTTGGTTTTTTTTCAATGTTTATTGGTACATTTAAAACAACATTACAGTTACATTTATCATTGGGATCTTGTACCTTTACATGATGTATCTAACTTCTTATTTTTTCCCCATAGCCCTGACGCCCTTCACCCCCTTCACCCTTCCCTATTTACAAAGACTTGGTTTCCATTTTTTCATTTGTTCACATTTCCCTAATTTCCTTTCCCCTCCCCTTCCCACTTCCCCTTTATCCATTTTCTTCCTGTAGCTTTGTTTTTTAATTTTCCTTTTTAATAGTAGTTATAGACTCACTAAGTTAATCTACATTTAAATAAAAGTGATATTCTAATAACAAAATATGAAATAACCAACTGAACACTCCTATTTTATGTAACTAAATTTGGCTCTTTTTGTAGATATAGAGATTAATTATTTGAATAAAATTCTAGGACAGACAGTTTACATGAGAGCTTGTTCAAATACTGCAGCTTTTCTTAAAGTGCATTCCTTTGAATGTGAAAAGGTTAGTGTCTTGCATTTGGAAGCTCACTTTGGAATTGTTGCATGCACATGATCCAGGAAACAAGACAGAACCTCACCTCTAGTTTGTTGTGTCAAAAATACTATTATGAAGATGCTCCTGGTTTACTGAAGATCCTACATGGCCCAGTGATATGCCATATTGCTAATTGGTTTCTTATTTTATAATTTGAGAAATCTTGCTATGATCTTTTATGTAAGTCTTACAGCCTTCCCATGGGTATAGTCCCGAGGGTTTAGGGGCCACTTCTTCTCTATTCAACTGGGGTCTAAATTTCTAGCTTTTCTGTTTTCTCTTCTCCAAAATGGGACTTCATTCTTTCATTCTTTTCTTTTATCTTTCTTCCTCCCTTTCTTCCTTCTTTCATTCTTTCTTTTTTGTTTTTTGACAGGTCTGCTTTACAGCTTACAAATTATTTTCCTCAGTCATGTGAAATTTATGTGAAAATTTAAAATTGTATTATAGAAAATCAAATCATGATTTATGCAAATGTGTTGGCATCCTGTTTATTTGCTTACAAGGGAAATTCTTTTGGTCATGGGAATCTGTGTTTCATCTTTTTCTTTGGTTACTTGTCTAAGTTTCTACCACTGATGATGCCACTGGTTAATACAGTGTTGCATTATTCTTGTCTACCTGTCTGACATGTTTTTATGCTTCCTTTTTTAGAAAAATTCTTGTGGCACACTCTTTTCTGCCAGTGTATAGTATTTCATTTCTTGAGGGAAGTCTGACAGCTATACCTATCAGTTTGAAATTTTAGAATGACCCAAAATATGAAAAGGCAAGGCAAATTGATTGAGATATAAACCATTCTGAGGAGATAAATTTAGAATGGTTGATATTGGAGAAATGTTGGATTAAGAAGTAAATTTTAAAAAAATTTTTTAGATTCTGATCAAGTAATTGGAAAAACTTTACTTCGAATTACTGTTTTCTGATGTAAGGGCAACTTGATTTCCTTAACTACAAGTATTTGTAGTAATAACAGTAGTAATAATTAAGGTTACCCTACTCCTTAATATGAAGTAAGCTGTATGCTGCTCATCGTGCATAAGTAACTGTTGGGTATTAACTAGCATCATTCTCAATTTGCAGAAGAGGCTCAGACATAAAGAATAAATTTAAGTCATTTCCTCAATACCATATAAAAGAAAGGGTTCTAATTTAAGCCTACATGACTCAGAAGCCTGTGTTCTTACCCCCTTGGATATCCTTCAACTCTGGTATCCATCTTTCAGATGACTAACAATTGATAACATGACAGGTACCTTAAAGGCAAACTATATGGAGCTGTTGTACCAGGAACTCAAAGATAGAAGCCTGAGGAACAATGGTGAAGAGAGATTAAGAGGAAGCGGGGAGAGACAAATGTTCGTATCGTTTTAATTTATAGATAGTAGGATTTAATTTGTAAAGAAGCATTGAATTATATAATTATTTGAATAAGGATGTATACATACTTTATATTTTTATTTACATAGACAGGTACGTATATTTGTCTAAAATAATTGATAGTTATAATCTAGCATACAGGTAATATTAGAATGACATTAAAACTTTTATATATAGATACGAGTAAGAGTTTTAAAATACAAGTTGTTCTGTTGTCATTAAGATGGTGTGTTTGTGGGCCAGGGATTTAGCTCAGTGGTTCTGCTGCTTGCCTCACAAGTGCAAGGTCTAACTTTCGATCCTCTCAAAAAAAAAGATGGCGCATTTGTGCTGATTTGCCAGTTCATTTGTTCATTGGGTATTTATTGAATGTCTGCTGTGAACCAAACATGGTGTCAAGCACTGGAGATTGGTCTAACGACAAATAAGGCACAATTCCTGCTTTAGAGATTTTATCACCTAATATGTGAGACAATCAATTAAAGAATTATAAGAATGAATAACCACACAGTATTGTGCCGACAGTGGACTGTTTTTAGAGATCACACCCAGCTTACTGTAAGAAAAAGGGAGGCTTTTGAAAAATGTCTTGAATGCAGAATCATGATTCTTAGAATTTCTGTTGGTTGAGTAGCCATGAGTACATCATTTGAAATACCAGGAGAGCTTTTTAAACAATGGCAATGCCATTGTTAAATCTCCTAGTGATTTTTTACTGAATTTGTAGGGAGGCCACACACCAGTATTTTTGAAAAGCAATCTATTTATTCTAATGTGCTTCCACCTGTTCTTTTCAGACATTATTCCTAAAATGGTGCTTGCTTACAAGAATAGTTTTTGATGTCTCTGAAAGAAGTTATTACTGGAGAAGGGGAGGTTTGGAATAAATATAATTATTCAAAATGAAGCATACTTAAAATATAAAAGTACATCCTTCTTTGTTGATTATACAACTTTCCTCAATAAGGTGAATTACTCTAGATTTGTAAAGAAAGCATTACAATGTCTCATATTCCATATAAAATAAGTGTACAGAATGGTTCCAATTGGCTTAACACTTAAGTCTTGCATAGAAATATTAATGCTAGTATAAGGTATACATGATAGAATACTTGGTCATTAACAGAAAATTACCTAGATTTGAGAGATAAGAATGTTAAATGCCTGAAGTGTTTTCATGGGTTAGTGACTCAAAGAGAGCAAGTGAATTACAGTTAGAGGGGAGATCTATAGATGAGAATGATTGAGTGGAGGATTACAAATCATCAGTGAATATGGGATTTTAATTGATCTTGTTTTGTTATAAGATGGACCACACATTGTTTCATGTTTTGAAATATCCCTTGAAGAGAAAGAGTTTGTCATTTTTCTATTTTTCAAAATAGAAGGTTTAGGGCCGGGGATTTATTTAGCTCAGTGGTGCCACCTGCCACTTGCCTTGCAAGCGCAAGGTCCTGAGTTCAATCCCCAGTACCAAACCAAACAAAAAAACAACAAAAAAGTAGGTTTAGAGTTCAACTGATTACATGTAAATCATTGTTCAACCTAGTGTACAGGAAACTCAAATGAGATTTTCCATGTACTATCTAAAATATTTAGATATATTAAGCTGCAAGATATTTTTAGTATCTAGTTCCTTTTTATTTCATTTAGCTTGATTGTTATTGTTGAGAAAACTATGATCTAAACTGAATAAGTCAATTTTCTCAAGTAAAATCACTAATTAAGGGTAGGATGGAACTATATTTAAGGCTTTTGATACCTAGATAAATGCCATTTCCACAATAACACTCTGTGACCCTTTATTTTTCAGAATTGTGCTGTTCTTGCAATTTGAATTTTCTAATGTAGTTTTTTCTTTTTATATTGTACTTTGTCTCCTAAAGGTCAAGTAACCTGGTTTGGTTACGAAAGTCCTCGTAGCTTCTGGGACTATATCAGAGTGGCTTGCCGGAAAGTTTCACAGAATTGTATCTGCAGCATTGAAAATATGGAAAATGTCAGTTCATCTAGAGCTAAGGTAAGACATTGGTAGTATGCAGTGTGTATAATCTAATTGTGAATAATTTTGACCTAAATAGAAAATCTTGGAACTTTGCAGTTAAATAATGTTTATTTTCTTTCCTTTGTTGAGATTAAGCACCTGACTAAATTTAACATCTCTTAGAGGCTTGTTTCTTTTACCTTTTTTTCCCCCATGTAGTTTTGTTAGAATGCTCTTGAGTCTGTACTGGTGCATCTTGAACTACAGGAGGGTATGGAAATACTACAAATTTCATTTTAGGAAGCACAAAATATTTTGTTTTAATTTATTGAATCATCTAAGCCAGTGGCTCTCAATGTCCTATAGAAAATTGGTAGTGCCCATAGCCCTTTCTATAATGGTTTTTCATCTCAAAACTATTTTTATATAATACTATGTTACTTTGCCTTTTTACTGTTGTAATTTACAATGCTGATACATAAGCAGTATGAGTAAAACTGCTGTTTCCTTAGCACAAATTGAGCAGTAGTATCAAACTATGCCATGGTAGTTGAGTCTTTCCCTACTATACACTAAGTATACAAAAGTCACTTTCACTTAGAATGCCTATAATGGTGCAGTGAACATTGACTTTATTAAACTTCAACTTCTTAGTTTACCTCTTCATAATATTCTACGTGGCAAAATGGAAAACATGCATAAAACATTTTGACAGCATATTTTTTTACTCATTAAGTTTATTGGTACATTTTAGGTATACAACATGGTGACATTCATCATTGGGAATTTGTACCTTTACATGATAGTGCCTGGTTCTTATTTTTTCCCCATTCCCCTGCCCTCCCTTCAACTCCTCTACCCCACCCTATTATACTTTGTTTCCATTTTTTCATTTTCTCATATTTATTCCTTTCTTCTACCCCTCCCACTTTCCCTTCCCCTTTAGACCTTTTCTTCCTATCTATTATAAATTTTGATCCTTATTTACACTTTCAGTGTCCCACACCAGAAAAACTATTCTATATTTACACGTGTCTTATTTATTTCACTTAAGAGTATGGCCTCAGTGTGCATCCATTTAGCTATAAATGTCTCTAGCTTCTCACTCTGTGTGGCTGAGTAGCACACTATTTTATTTTTAAAAACACAAATCTTCTTTATCTAGTCTCCAGTTGATGGGCCATTGGACAATGGATAGCATATTGAAATTTGTATTTGCCTCAAGAAAGGTATTGGTGTGATTGTCGGAATTGTACACTGAACTAGATGCTTTTTTTCATGTAGCACTAGTTTTATTAGAAAGAAACTTAAAAATTATAATTTGTTAAGCTTAAGCATTTAGCAGTCATTTTCCTGGAAAAAAAAGAGAAAGAAATAAGCTTTCTTCTTGAAAAGTCACTTGAGGAAACAGGTGACAACATTTATTGCCAAAATTAAAGCTTTTAATATACAAACTAGACTTTTGGAAAATTTATTCTTAACACTTCCAGCTTGATACTTGAAGAATCTTGACAAGAGATTTTCCTGATAACATTGATTTCATATTAATAAGTATATTTTAATTATTTAATAAAATTATTAACATTTGTTAGAACTGTGTAGACTATATTTCCCAAATGAGCAGTTCATGGTATTACAAAGTCATGCATGGGTAAAAGATTAATTTAAAGTGCAAGATAGACTGATGGATTTAATGCAACACAGTATTAAAAGTTCATTGATTTGATTACATATCCCATTTTGCACTTTTAAGAAACTATCTTTTACTGAGTTTTGGTGTAGAATTAAAAAGAATATCCACAAGTATCTGCTATTGAAAGGCTCCCATTCCAGCTCTCTGTGTGAGACAAGATTTTCTTCATATATTTCAACTAAAACTACATATTATAACTAATGGAATGCAAAAGCAGATATCTTGTTCCCTTTTATTATGCCAAACACTAAGGATATTTGAAAAAATGTAAAATATAGATATGTTTCTCACTGTTTGTTTAAAAAATAGTCATTTTATTAAAATATTAAATGTTAACATGTAATGGCTTATTTCATAAATTGTCCAACTTTAAAAATTTTTCTAGGCTTACAGTAAATATTAATAGCTATAACCTATATAGAAGGTCTTTTAAGACCTCAATAATTTTATTAGATTATAAAAATAGTTTGAGCTAAACCATATCAATTTTAGCTTAGAAATTTTATTTATGCTATTAGGTTGCTATAAGTAGAAAATAAAGAGTGGAAATAGATATTTACAGTTTGAAGATCAAGATACAATTTAGTTCATGATGTTAGAATTATAGAATTATAATTGTATCTTGTATGAGTTTGCCTATTTTCCCTTGATGTTCCTTACAATTTAAGAATATCTTGGTTTCTTTAGGTTAATATTAAAAGACTACTTGAGGTGCACCACGTGCATTTCTTCAACAGAGGAAAGCATTTGTTTATAGAACTAGTGTGTCCCCAATATTTAGAAGATGACCGAGTAGGTAATAAATGTTGGACATGTAGCATTTAGACCTGGGTGGATCAAAGAAATGCAAACCCTACTTGGCAGCTCTTTTGAATGAAGCTCTTGGGACTAGTCCTGGTACAAGATGTTTCCTAGCAAAAGTAATGTTTATTCTTTAAAAAAATTATGTTGAGCATCAAAACCCTATGGAAAAATCATGTTCCAAATCCTGCATTTATACCTTTCTTTGCTCAAGCCTCAAAGAGATTCCAGTTAGTAGAGGAAGAGATCTTTGATTTGCCTGGCTATGTGGAAAGTCTATTCGATCACAAGTGCCATGTATCAGGATTGAACACTCAAACAAATATGTAAGATGGCAGGCTTATTGCACCTAGATCTGAAGTCTCAAAAGACTACTAAAATATGTTGCACATATGTCCTATCTTGACATATGTGAAAAATGTATCAGCTAAAGCACCAATCTTGCTTGATAACTGATATACAATTCTGTACTTGGGACCAAAATAGCTCTTCTAAAAAATATTATATAAGGGGCCAGATTTATTATAATTATACTTTTAGAATTAAGCATATGACAGATTAAATAATGGAAGACATAGATGCACTATTGACTAATTATGGGGTAATGAGCAATTTAGTATAGAAACATTTAAAAATTTAAAAAGAATTTTAGCATTGTGGATAAAACCCAGGGCTTCATGCATGCTAAATAAGAGCTCTGTCACTAAGCTTCACCCTCACACTATTCATTAAATTTAGTAGAGTTGAATTGGAACTGTGTGTGTCCTGGTACCACCATGCCACTATACAGTACTCACGTGGTGTAGAAACTTGTCACTATGGGAGATCTGATACTTAGTCCCCCTAGTTTAGAATGAAATGTACACCATTCCATTTCTTTGCCTGACCTGTAACAAGTTGAGTCTATTTCCCAATATCTAAACGTAGTTTAACAATAGATTAGAATGTTTAAAGTGAAGATTATATCTACAATATTTACATCTCTGGTTATAGTCGCAGTATTTCTTTCTATAATATACAATTATTCGGAGACATAACATTTCTGAGGCATAAACTTACTTAGGTTTCATAGTGGATTCATAACCCTTAGAAAACTGACTTTAAAAAATACCAATTTATTTCACTCTTCTAAATCTTCATTCAATGGAATCTTCCCCATCTATTTTTGTGCTAATTACTTATAATTACATGATTATATCATATGATCACTGGCAAAAACCACTCCTAATTGAACAGTTAACTGAATTTGCATATATTTGCAATTTTTAGTTTTCTGACTGGTTTCAAGTTCAAGAAATCTTTCCTCTTTATTTTTTTTGTCTCAAAGAATAAATCCTGTATTATTCTTGAGTTCTTCCTTCCAGTATACTTTTGTACAGTTTTCACTTTCTTTTCATTTTAAGAGTTCTTGTATCTACATGCAAGTTTCTGAATAGTAGTCATGTGAACCATTCATTTACCCATGCATCATTCAACTCAGTAATTTTTTTGTGTGTGTGCCAGTGATCGAACTTGGTTCCTTGCACTTGCAAGGCAGGCACTGGAACCAATAAGCTAAAACCCTGGCCCACACTCAGGAAATTTTTATTGAGAATCTAAACCAGCTCAAATCTGAACATAATCCTCATTACATATGTCCTAGTCCTACCCTTCCTAGTGTTGTTTTGTTTTTTGTCTTATTGCTTACTTTGTCTCTTGTTTAGTAGCTGGTCTGGCCATGGAGAAAGATTAGCCACTGACAGAGTCAGAGGTAGAGGGGTATTAATCACAGATGCACCAGATTTATCAACTTCTAAAACGTTACAGTAAGCTAGTATTGAGAAGAGACCATTTCAACTGTTGTTTTCTATTATTGACTTACAAATAATTTTCTCCTCTTTTATCCACTTGATATTTCCTATATCTAATTCTTTTTGTGTTGTTATGAAAACTGGAAAATGAAAAGCTTAAACATTCAGTTTCCCAGGCAGAAACTACAGAGATTCTGATTCTGCCCATTTATTTTTTCCATATAAAATACTAGTTTCAGCTGACTCTTCCTAATGCATTTTTATCATCATATCACCTTTCTCTCATTGCGACCAGTAGCTCCCATATGTAGTAGCTAAAAGCAAGTTAATTATCACCTTCTGTTTTGTCCATTTCTTCAGTAAGTATATATCGAGTGCCTACTACATAACTGTTACAGCTGTTTACTGGATATTGTGGCAGGCAAAAAAGATAACAAAGAACAAATGTTATGTACATTACACTGTAATAATACAACAAACAGATTTACGCACACAAATGATATAATCTCAGAAGCTATGGAAAGAAACCAAAGAAGAGCTTAAAAAATAATAGGAGTGGTGGTAGGGGGCACACTTTTCTTAGGGTGGTTAGAGAAGGCCTCTCTGAGAAAATGACATTTGATTCAAAACTTGAATTAAGGAAAGGAAAGTACCATTCAATTATTGAGCAGAGTAAATGAGATAAAGAATAAATGATATGGTCATGATTAGGAGTTTGGAAGTTATTCTTAGTGAAATAGGATGCTATTTGAGAGGTTCTTTTTTCCTATTTAGAACAGTAGAGTAATAAGATTTACATTTTTAGAAGGTTCACTCAGTCCCATATAGAACATACACAAAGGAAGGGCTGGGATCAAAGGATCTAGTGGGAAGAGTATAATTGGAGTCTAAAACAGAGATGCTCTTTGAGGTAAGGAAATAATGGTTTTGCTTCTAGTGACAACAAAGTAGCTTGTATCAGAGGAACTGTTCTGTACAAATGATTGTAAAAGTTGAATAAAATGTACAAAGGCGCCAATTAAGGCATAAAAGAACAACCCAGGCATGAGAACTTGAGTAGCCACTGCCCTGAAAGAAAGATTACATGAGCTGAACCTCACGTTCATGTTGGCGTTACTCAAAGTTCTGTACATTCACATCATAGGCATAGAGGTTAAGCACAAAATGATGGAGGTTGGTGTTGGTTGTTTATTTCTGTGGGCTTTAGAAATGTAAGTTGAAACATGGAATTGACAATGAAATCAGGGTTTAGAAATTGTGCATGCAGTTTCAACAAAGTTGAAACCAGCAGGTAAAATATAAAACAGCTAATTAAAGATTTTGTAGTCTTATTCTGGAGTGATAAAGGTCAAGAGTACAAGGACAAACAGTGTGGAGGGGTGCTGCCTACAACCCCAGCTTTCCCTGGAGGTTCCAGAAAGGTTTCACTTGAGGTAAAGGGAGAATTTTAGAAGATCACCCCTAAAAAGGCCTGAAAGTGTGCCCTAAATGTTGTGAGGCAATTTTCTAGTACTCTGTATACCTGCCAGAATAAAATTAATTTATTCTGGTGAGAGATAGCATCAGAATCCTACCACTTTTTATAAACAGTGTCCCATTATTTATTACAAACTCATCAGGTATATCCAGGCAGATCAAATGACTGAAACCAAAAAAAAAGGTGGGGCAATTGATACAGACTTATGAGTTTTAAAGATTATAGACTTTTAAGTAATTAAAATAACTTTAAAATAAAAATAAATATGAATACTACTAGAAAAGTGGATTCTTTTAAAAAAGAGCTAACTGTAAGAGTTACATTCTTACCAAACAGAGGACTTATTGCCGGCTGCCTGGAAAGCGCAAGGAACCAAATTCGATCTCTGGTACCAAAAAAAAAAAAACAACATAGATAACTTATACAAAAATTGACCAGTTCATTTCAATGAATTTTAGAAGGTTGGAATCATGTAAAGTATATTCTGTAACCACAGTGAAGTTAGGCTAGAATTAAGAAAAATAAGTAGAAAATGATTTTATGAGTGAAATTGGGAAGAACAACTAAGTAACTTATGAATGAAAAAGGAAATCATAATCAAAGTGGAAATATATTTGGAAAGTAAGGGTAATAAAATACAGCATATAATAAGTTATACTTAGAGGAAAACATACTTTTGTGTATTTTTATAAAATAGTAAAGACTGGAAATCAGTGTTCAAAGCTTTCATCTCTAAAAGCTGTTAAGAAAAGTAGTAAGCTGCAAATGGAAGGAAAGAAATAATGAAGAGCAAAATTTTAATAAAATTTAAATATATACTAGAAGAAAATCTAAAAATTAAAAATAGATTTTTTTAAAAAAAGAGCGGTACAATTGATAAACTATCAAGACTATTTGACATAAAAGATGATATAAATTATCAATATCAAGTATAATAAGTGAGACCAATATACCCAATAAACATTAAAAATCCTAAAAGTGAATATTATTAACTTCATACTGATAAATTTGAAAATTAGATGAATAAATTCTTCAAAAATGTTACTTACCAAAATTCACATAAAAAGGAAATCTGTATATCCTGATATCTACTAATAATATTGCATCTATAACTAATAACCTTCCCCTTGTTAGCTCATTTTTTTAGTTGTCTTTGTCATACAGATTTTAAAGAAAATTTTTGTATTTTATGGATGAGAGTCTCTTGTTAAATACATTTATAATTCAAATAACTTTAGCCACACTATATTTGCCTTTTCACTCTTGAAATGATAATAATTCATCCTCTAAACTAGGAAAGTAGAATATATGGGTATTAATGCAGTTAAGTCAGGGTTGTGAGAAAATGAGGTTCCTTTTTCAAGTTGTATTTTTTTCTTCATAAAGTACAGGTAATATTGTAACCTAATACACAATTTTTGGTATGATTAACTATCTTAATGTACATAGTACTCTTAAAACAGGATATGGCACATATTAATTATATTCTTATGAAGTAATAACTAGTTTTAGCATTGTTTTCAAAAACTTTTATTGATTAATCTTTACCAATCAGTAGTCTAAAGTCTTTAATGTAGTTCCAGCTTTTCTGCTTCTTGACTCCAACAACCTTTATTTTTCTTATGTTCTAGTAAAAGTCCTTTGGCTGAAAAGAAATTGAAAGTGGCACATTTTATTAGTAGAGAATTTCACACATGTCAAGGACAGGAAACTAAGTGCAGCTAGTTCTGTGTGGATTAAAATTAAATTAGGAAGCAGGAATTTCCCACATTTCTTATCAACAACAGCATAATCTCCTGTGCTTAATTTTCTGAAGGTTGCAACTTTTCCTGCTTCTGTATTGGTGACATTGTGGCCTTTTGATGAGTTTCTGTGTTTTTAGAGGAAATTTCAAGAGAGTCTTGAGACTGATGGCCAGCTAGAGGCTTGCCTCTTCCTTCCTCTGTTCCAGTCAGCCATGGCTTATTTTAAGTTCTCGGACGCTTACTCAAAAGGAACAATGGACTGAGCACAGGGAAAGATGAGAGGCAGTGATGAGCTTGGTAGGCAAACTGACTGACTGTAACTATGTCTGTATGACTCACTTTCTTTTCCACAGTACTGCTGCTTTTAACCTGTTTTTATCATTGCCTAGATTAAGTCCGTTTTGACCTTGTGTTGCCAGCAGTTTGGCAAATTCAGTAGACTTGTAGACATTTTCATGCGTTATTCTCCCTTACTGGTACTCGGCTATCATACATATTGATTGGTATCACCTTTATTACAAACTACCATTGCAGGATTCCGACTTGAGATCTATTCAATCTTCATGATTTTTTCTGGGAATTTGTGACAGGGTGGGTGAAAATGAAAATTACTGATTATTAAAAGTATCTCTACAAATATGATCTTTCATTCTAAATAGTCTGTAAGAAGTACTTAGGAGTGCTTTAAAAAGATTGATCTATCTCAACTTTTGAGAGATATTAAAACTTTTCAGTACAATGAAATTATAAGTAAAAAATATTTGTTTCTTGCTCAAATATATTACCCTCTGAGTTTTTATTCTACTGTATTTTGTTTTTTGGTGCTGAGGATTGAACCCATGCTAGGCAAGTGTTCTTACCCCTTTGCTACATGCACAAACTGTGTTGGGGTTTTGTTTGTTTGTTTGTTTTTAGTGTAAATATTTGGTAATAGTTTTTAGAATTCTCTGGGGTCTCCAGATTCAGAAGCTCATGATTTGGGTACACAATTAATCATGCAATTTGCAGTTCACTGTTAGTTATATAAAAGCTTCTTCTGGAAGGATAGGAAATTCTCTTAAGTTGTGTTAGAGGGATGTCCCTCATGTTTTATAAGGAGATTTATTTTTCATTAAATGCTTACTTTAGGGTTGAAGTAGAGTCTTATGATTATAGTATATGATTCAAAACAAGTCTCTAAGTAACTCAGTATTAATATTTTGCCCTGTTGGAGGATAGAAAGTTAATTTGATATATTGTACCTTACACCTTCTGGAAAACAATACATAATCTATATATTCAAAATTTGCTACTTTTATTGACTTAAATATTTTTGTAAGTCTTTATTAAATGTATATTTTGAATTAGTTGGTATTTATGAGTTAAAGTGCTTATATTTTCAGTGGCATAGTAGTCAAAAATATTTTAAATTTTTTCATATTTCATTCTCTCTTCTTTTTAGGGTAGAGCCTGGATCAGAGTAGCACTCATGGAGAAACATTTATCTGAATACATCTCTACAGCTCTGAGAGACTTCAAAACAACCAGGTTTATGAGTCTTTAGTTTTCTAATAATTTACTTGAATCACCTAAAGAATTAGAAATCAGAATAAAGCTATTTAGTTTTTAAAGCCTTCAATTATTTTGTTTCCTTTTTTTTTTTTACTACTCAGATAAGTCTGTGTCTTTTCAGGAAAATGTAATTTGTCAGCTAAACATATATTTACCTAGGTTATTGTAAAATATATATGTTATACATGGAATATCCTTTTTCTGAATCATTTCTAATTCTCATTCTCTCAACAGTTGAAGCTTCATTCTCTCTGTAGACTTTTCCCTGATCAATTTGAAGAATGATCTGTGAAATTCCTATAGATTCTTTTCTCTTTTTATACTGCAACTTTTCCTTATTTCGTTGTTTGTAAAGAATATAATTGAATCATTTCCTTCTTTTGTTTGCGTGCCACTGAGGACTAAACTTAGGGCCTTTGCATTGGGCTACATCCCAGCTCTGAAACAGAGTCTTGTTAAGTTGCCCAGGTTAGAATATATATATATATATATATATATTCATATATTTTCACTCATATATGTATAATTGCTTAATGATTGCTTGACTGTGTTTTTAAGGTAGCCTATAACAATGATTTTTAAAATATTATATAAACTTAAGGTGTGTTATACTGGGGCTACGTGAAAAATAGAACCTTACTAATTTTTTATGATGGTAGAAAAAAAGGTACATTCAGGACAACGGTTATTCCTGTTTAGCTCTGTTTTGCTGATCTATATTTGTTGTTGACGAAACCATTTTTCTCCCTATCAAAAGTCTTTATGCATGAAAATATTTAATAATTTCATTACCTTAGACATGTACTGTCTAATGACACCAACAACAAGCTAACTGTATAAGTTGTAATTACTTAGAACTACATAAAGTTTCAAATATAGTTCTTGCTGTGTCACATTTCAGGTGCTTAGTAGCTGCATGTGGTTATTAAGTGGCACAGAGAATATTTTCTTCATCACAGAAAGTTGTACTGGACATTTGATGCTTATAAATTACCATACTTATTTCTACCTTATTATTCTGAAAACTAAGGCTAGTGACAACTGTAAACTAGTTTTGATAGAGGAAACATGAACTCATATTTCTGGAATCTTAATTTTCATGTCCTGATACATTTTTAACATCCTGGATTTTGAGAAAACCTGGGCAGAGTTATTACAGCTAACTAGCTGGTACAAATTACAGTATCTTTAATTAGATGCCTCTATCTTGCAGGAAATAAAATGACAAACTTTTGATTTGAGACATACAAAGAAAAATAATCATGATTATAAATTTGATCAGGATAGAAAAACTTTTTAACAAACAATTTGCATACATCATATATGTATATATATATATATAAATTGCATTATTTTCTAGCAGTATGATGCTGAGGGTATTGCTAAAGATGTATACATTTCTGCATTTATTAATTTTAGTGAATGAATTTATGAAAAATAAATATTGAAAAGTTTTAAAAATAAAGATAGAGCATAATTATGGACTGTAGTAGGTGAAACCTGAAAATTTTAAATTAATGAAATCAAAACTAAATTTATACAATAAGCATCTTTTCTAAATTTAAATTAAAGTGTTAATAGTCTTTCTAAGTTATTAGCATTTTTTCTTAGTTTAAATGATTGAGTGGGGTAGAAGAATTCTGAAATAGATTGTTTTTAGATTAAGTAGTTTAAATATTTAAAGCAAAATGTTTGTTGCTTTGTTCATAGGTGATAGTCATGCTTTTTAATAAAAAGGAAGTCTATGAAGTAAAAATATTCTTGTAATAATACATAAATATACTCTAAACAGAAATGTGTCTTAGAATGTATATTCAGATACATATCCACACACCTACACATACATTTATATGAATAAAAATGTTTACATGTGAGTATAATGGGTTTATAATTCCCAAGAAATGAAATAGGGAGTTATTTCAGAATTCTCATCTTAGAAATAAAACTGTTAAAAAATAAGGAAGATTTTCCTTTTACTATTTACTTTTTCTGAAATATAACCAAAGAAACTTTCAGTTATAAATCTGAGTGCAAATTTCTATGCAGACAGAGATATTTGGAAGATTAAATTTGTGAAATATAAGCAAAGTATTGGAAAGTATAGTTGTACGTTACCTTTTATATGAATGCTTCCTGAGACAAGTGCTTCTAAAGGGATGAGAAATTGTCTCTAATCCTTTAGGAACCTTGAGAGTATCTGAGTCAACTGGATTTCTTCTTGTTCTGTCTGACTTCACAGACAAAAAGTAATGATATCCTTTAAAATACTGTTACAAGTATTTATGCCAGTACAGGAGGAGGAGCTACATAGGCTAAGGCAGGCAACTTTGAAGACACAAAGCAGTGAAAGTCTAAGGAGAAGTATGGATGGAAGAATAGTGGAGAGCAGAAATGCAAGTTTTCTTAGAGTGCATGAATAGCGGCAAGTATTAAAGAGATTAATGTGATCTTTTTGCTAAGGTGGAAAATGTCTTAAATAGCAACTGGAAAAATAGTTACCTTGAAGAGTTTCACGGTTGAGAAACTGGATATTATTGGGAAGTAGATTACTGGAGTTGAGAAGTAGGAATAGTGAAGATTAAAATCTAAATTTAAAAAAACAAGTAGAGAATTTCTATGGTCTGTTCCTGGGAAGATCTGCAAATGACAATAAAGTAAGAATAGAGTTAATTTGCTCAAAGTTTTAATTTCTCTCCACCCACAAACTGAAAAATAAATAGAATTAGAAAAGTTATACTAAAAATTTACAAATGTGATATTAGAAACAATATTGAAAATATTCTGGTAAGAATTTGAAGTAATAGATAAGGAAAAGATAAAGATAAAATAATCTATAGAATCTCATATATTAGTTTGCAGTTACAATACAGAATTAATTTATAATGACAGTTCTATTCTGAAGAAATGTTAACTTTCACATTATTTCAAAACAAAGGAAGGAGTAAAGTATGAAATACAATTTTGTAAATTACTGAGCTGTCACAGAAAGATAATATGAGTTGGTGAACACTTTTCTCAATTTTAGAAAAGAAGGTAGAGTAGTAAGTAATAAGTTACCCAAAACTTTAAAGAGCCAAGAAAGAGTTTTAAAATATGGATATACTTAAAGGTGTTACATTAATGCAATCATCTTATATCCAAGGGTTCACTTTCCACACTTTCAGTTACCTACCATCTGAAAATACTGACTGAAAAATTCTGGAAGTCAACAGTAATAACTTTTGTTAGTAATCTTTTGTTAATAATTGTTCTATTTTATTATTAATTTCTTACTCTGTCTAATTTATAGATTAAACTTTAATACTTGCTCCTTGGCTTACCATGGGGGTTATAGCCCAATAAACCTGTGGTGACTTGAAAATATTATAAGTCAAAAATGCATTTAATATGCCTAACCTACTAGACATTGTAACTTAGCCTAGCTTACCTTAACATTCTTAGAACACTTAGGTTATAAGTGACAAAATTACTTCATTTGGGAAAAAAATCACTAACACGAAGTGTTTTATAGTAATAATTATATGATTGCATGGCTGCAGCTCACTGCTGCTGCCCAGCATTACACAAGAGTATTGTACTGAATGTGCCCAGCCCAGGAATTCAAAATGTGATGTTCAGTGTCTACCAAATGCATATTGCTTTCTTAGCATCCTTACATACCAAAATATCAGAAGTTTGACCAACATTCTTAGGAGGCCTGCCTAAGTAAAGTTTGCTATTACCTAGTTTCAGATATCTACTGAGGATCTTGGAACATATTTTCCATGAATAAGGGAAGGATACTATATTAAGATAAAAAAATAAACATTACTAAAGGTTGCTCTTTTGTAGTCTGCTATCTCACAGCCTATTCAAAAACCTCAAATGGATTGAATATAAATGTAAGATGCTTAGAAGACAACATCTATGTAAATTTTTGTTTTGATTGGGAAGTGGTTTCTTATGATAGCAAATATACAAAGAATAAAAGAAAAATAAACTGGACATAAATAAAATTAAAAACATTGTGCTTCAAAGGACACCAACAAGAAAATAAACACATGACTCATAGAATGAGAAAATTTGGGGGAACCATATATCTGATAAAGAACTTGTATCTAGAATGTATCTAGAATAAAGAACCTTTGCAAATAATAAAAAGACTATTTAAAATGTGCAATAATCTAAATAAGCATTTATCCAAGGAAGGTTTACAAATGACTGATAAGCACCAAAATAAATCCTAGTATCATAAGCCATTAAGAAAATATAAATCAAAACCGCAATAAAATGTTTCATATCAAGTAAGATGACCATACTCAAAAGATAACAAATATTGATAAGAATTTGGAAAAATTGGATCCCTAAAACACTGCCAGTGGAAAAATAAAATGCTGTAGCTACTTTGAAAAGCAATTTGTGAGTTCCTCTAAAAGCTAAGTGTGGACTTACCATATGACCCAGTGTATAACTCTTAGTTATAGATATGTATGTGTCTCTTTGTGTATATATCTATCTCCAAGAAAAGTGAAAACATATTTGCAAAAATTATGCTGGGCATGGTGGCCTACACCTGTTGTCCTAGCACTCCAAAGGCTGAGGCAGGAATATTTCTTTGAGTCTGAAGCCAGCCTGGGCTACATAGTGAGTTCAGCCAGCCTGAAGTACATGGCAAGACCCTGTCTCAAAGAAACAAACAAAAGTATACACATATACTTATAGCAGCATCATTCAAAATAGCCCCAAAGTGGGAGCAATCCAAATGTCTTGATGAATGAGTATCGTATATACATCTAATGGAATATTATTCATCCCTAAATGAATGGAGTACTGTTACATGTTTAAACATGGATGAATCTTGAAAACATGCCAAGTCAAAGAAAGCAGTCACAAAAGACAGAATAGAATTCTACTTATTCTGCATTATGAAATATCCAGAATAGAGAAATTCAGAGAGACATAAATAAAGTTAATGGTTCTGTAGACTGGGGCTGGGA